CCTAGGCACCGTTAGGAACAACTCCAAAGAGAACTGCAATAAAAACATAAATCTCATATTGAAAATAAAACAACCTAATTAATCTTAATAAACCTTCTTAATTCTCTTCCAAATTTGAATTCAAGTCAATCATCTTTTCCTAAATAAATATTCTTAATTCCCTCCCAAATTTGAGTTTAAATTAATCCTCTTTCCCTAAATAAACCTTAATAATTTCCTCACAATTTTTATTTTCTTTGGTAAGTAATTAAAGGTAGAATTAATCCCCTTTGAGCCCCCTCTCTCCTTGCCCTTTGCCCACACTAGTGGGTCCACAAGGCTCTACCGCCCGTCAGCTAAACTACCCCCTGCTCCGGTTGAGTCGATTGGTTGGACCAGCTCAGTCGGTCTATTAATTCTCCCCTCTCGAAAAGTCACCTTGTCCTCAAGGTGGAACGAAAGAAACTGCTCTTGAATCATCTGATATGGTTCCCATGTTGCTTCGTAGTCGAGTAGATTCTTCCACTCGATCAACGCTTTCTAGTTCCTACTGCAGTCGAGTGAATTCCTCTCACTTTCATTGTCTCCAGGATCATCTCTGTTTCTTCTGTCTAGGTCATCGGCAACGTTGTTGATGGACTATGATTGCCAATAACTTTCCTCAGCTTGGACACATGGATCATTGGATGTATGGCGGAAGTATGGGGTAGTTGCAAACGATATGCCACGACAACAATCCTCTTCATGATCTCATAAGGCCCATAGTACCATGGATATAACTTTTCATTTTTCTTCAAGCTAAGGTCTTTTGTTTATGTCTGTAAGGTTGAATCTTCAAATATACTTTACCATTGACCTCGAACTGTACATCTCTTCTATGCCCGTCAGTCTGCTTCTTTATAATTTGTTGTGCTCTTAGTAGGTGCCGCTTTAGCTCTCCAATATCCTATTCCATTCCTCCAACTATTGTTCCATTGATGAAATTGGAGTGCTTTTGGACTTGTAGTATACCAGGTGAGGAGGGTCTCTGCCATAGAGGATTTTATACGGTGTAGTCTTTGCTACACTATGGCAGGATGTATTGTACACGTACTTGGCCCAAGATAGCCACTTCACCCAAGCCGTATTTCTGATACAAAATATATCAAATAAGTCTCCACACTCCTGCTCACCATGTCGGTATGCCCATCAATTTTTGGATAGCATGATGTACTTCTCTTCAAAATAGTCCTCTGCATCCTAATTATCTCTCCTGAAGTGGCTCAGAAAACCTTGCCTATATCTGACACTATAGACTTCAGAATTCCATTTAGGCATACCACATCTCGAGTAAATGTTGCTGCCACTGAAACTGTCGTGTATGGGTGTCATAGGGGAATGAAGTGAGCATACTTGTTTAATCTATCCACTATTACCAAAATCACTGAAAACCCCTCCAATTTTGATAGGCCTTTAATGAAATTCATGGTTATCTCTTGCCACACCTTATCAGGCAGAGCTAGAGATTGCAGAAGTCCTTTTTTGGAGCCCTCGTCATGTATTTGTGTTTAAACATAGTTTTAGACGGACTAGGATATGCTCTAATAACCACTCTCTTTCCCTCAATCTTTGAATTCCATCGTTAGAGCCTTCCAATCAATCTTAGCCTTCCCCAACTTCTATAGCCACTTCATTCCTAGTATCACATTGATGCTCCCCAAATCTAATGGCAAATAGTCATTCAACATCTGAACCTCTAGAAGGATTAGGATCACCCCTTTTTGCAAATTCCTCTACTCTCTACTTTTTATGTTCCCAACATAACCCTAAAGCCCCCAATGCCCATTAATTTTAGTTCCAACTTATCCACCATTATGTTGAAAGTGAAGTTGTGGGTAGATCCACTATCCACTAGTACTACCACCTCATGATGCTCAACGTTCCCCTTAACCTTCTTGGCATTGTTCGGTGTGAACCCGACCACTGATGTAAGGGATACCTCTGCAACATCTAAAGTGTAAGCAATGTTTAAAATTGTGTATTCGGGTATTGAGGCGTTTTTCATTCGTGAGGCGAGGCGTAAGCCTCAAGGCGTTTTGAGGCGTAAGCCTCAAAATCAAAAGATTGCGTAAATATAAAATGATAAAAAATTTTATATACTAATGAGTGAATAATAGAAAACATAAAAAAAGCATAAGATATGTAGTGAAATCAAAATATCTTAATAATAAGACAACATGAAATATAGTTCAACTCAAAATTCTATCTTTCCCAAATCCCAGTATTCTTTTCATTAACATATAATTGTAATTTCCAAAAATAAATATCAATGACATATCACATAAGAACTCATAAGTCATCAGCACTGTCATCACTAAGGGGCATTATGGTGAACTGCTCTCTCCCCTTCCTCCTTTCCTATAGAGTCCAATGTCGGGCATTTACTTTAAGATTTATGTAAGTTTTAATATATATAGCGTGACGCGTAAGCCTCATGCCAGTGAGGCGAGGCGGGCCTCAACCAAGTTGAGGCGCAAGCCTCATAAAAAAAACTCGAGACGTAAGCATCGATGCGAAGGCGGGCCTCAAGGCGAGCCTCATATTGCGCAATTTTAAACATGAGTGTAAGTGATTATCTTCTTCGTCTACTTCTCTGTAGCATCTTCCTCCTCATCGCAAACTGTCAAGACTTGTAACGAAGGTCCTTACAACGGTGGCATGGAGCGAACTTCTCATCACACTTAAAGCATAAACCCTTGGCCCTCTTCTCTTGAATTTTTTACTTAGGCAACCTGTTGAAGTCCGACCAGGTCGTAGTCCGTGATCTCTATCCCTCGAGGCTTCCTTTTGAATCTGCATCACCTGCACCTTTGGTGCTAGAAACATAGTGGTCGTGCGTTTGGAGACTCATGAATTATTACTACGACTACTCCTCTCCAAGGAGTTCTTATCCTCCACCAGATGGGCTAACTCCATAGCTTCTCCTAAGTCACGTGGTCTCAGTACTCGAACAGTTGCTCGAATATCAAGCTTGAGCCCTTACATAAAGTTTCTCTCTAGCATAGACTAACAACCTTCCCAATCGGCTCGAGAAATCCTCAAACTTCTCCCGGTAATCTATCACCGCCCCTCCTACTGAAAGTATATCTTGCATCAATCAAAATTAAAAGAGAGAGTACTAAACATACATCTATGTATGGGGTATCCTATCACTATCTCAAAAGAGATAAAAAAAAATGAGGGGAGGTTTCTATCATTAACTTGATTCCAAACAAAGCTATCAAAAACAACCAAGGCTGCACAAAAATCAACCACCCTGTTACTCGGCCTAGGAATGCAATGGAGTAAAACCTGTTTAAAGTTATTCAAAATAGAAAGGTCCAGCTCCAAATGATCCATGTCCCCCAAATCTTGGCCTCTCATAGCCTTTTGAAGCCACCTGATCACATTGATGTTGTCACCTTCAATTATAATCCTCTTCCCCTCCTGCACCAGAGCAAAGAACTTTTCATAGAAGTCTCATTCCCGACTAGTTCAAAAATGTTTTAGTAGACAGTCTTTGTACTTCCTCCATGATCGGATCGGATCTCGCAAGTCTCTCCATTGGTATTAGGACAGAGCTTTCCCTTTTAAACATAGAGCGACTGCAGTGAGTTTTTCATCTTCTGTAAACCCATTTACAACAAAATATCTTTCCACCCTATAAATCCACACGTGAGCATCTTCTCTTTAAAAAACTTTCATCTTCAACTTTCTCACCTTTGGATCGTCACCACCCCAATAGCTTTTTCCTCCTCTAATATAGTGGGCATTGTGATACCTCCATATTTTCCTCTCCCCCAAATCAGTTCTCTGATCTTCATCATCACAATTTCTTCATCGACCATACTCTTCACTAGTTCCCCTCATTGGAAGTGGCTCCAAAGGTGGCATCTCCTCTTCTTCCTCCAAAATTTCTACCTCCCGATCCTTTCTCATCGTCCCTATATTAGGGTTTCTCCCACTTCCTTGTCCGATCAACGATGCCCTTATCTCTGATGATATTGTCTTGACTTAAAACTCTCACATCCTTTTATCATCTCTTTTAGATTCGAAAATCTGCCCTCAATCGTTGAAATTCGTTCTCCGAATTCAGATTTTTAACCCCCTATCAAGCGTCTCCTCCAACGCATCAACCTTCTTAGTTGCCATAGGTTCCAAAAAGGTGCTCTGATATGAATTTGATAGGAATCCGATCTCCAAGAAACCAAAAACAACAATAATGAAGAGAAAATGTAGCAGAAATCAGCGAGAATAATGAGATTATGGGCTAATGTATTTTAATTATCAGCACAACAAATCAAGATATAAGTTGATTATTCGAGGGGTAGATCGACTGTCCACAAACCCTAAGTGCCACTAGTAACAACTCTAAAGAGAACTACAATAATAACACAAATCCCATAATGAAAATAAAGCAACCTAATTAATCCTAAATATACCTTCTTAATTCCCTACCAAATCTAAAGTCAAATCAGTCATCTTTCCCTAAATAAACCTTCTTAATTCCCGCACAAATTTGAATTCAAATTAGCTCTCTTTCCCTAAATAAACCTTTTTAATTTCCTCTCAATTTTGATTTTCTATGATAAGTTATTAAAGGTATAATTAATTCCCTTTAAGCTCCCCTCTCTTTGCCCACCGCCCTCACTAGTGGGGCCCATATGGCTCTTCTGCCCGCTAGCTAGTCTGCCTCCTTTTTTGGGGCTGGGTTGATTGGCAGGACCGGCTCAGCCGGTCCATCATACTCCGCTGTATATGCTAAATAAACTTGATTCCTATGCTCAGAGGCTTAATAAAACAGACTTATGTCGTTGCTTTTCTCCTATCAAAGCTAGTAATAAGTTGCAACCAACAAAGGAATGCACGTTGTAGGATACATTCAAATGGAAGAACAGAATATGTTATGGTGGTTGTGATAGTGACAAAATATTTTACTTCCTTTGATTTTGAATGAATAATAATAGTGTATCAGAATGATTCCTGCTACATTCTTTTTACAGGCCGGAATTCATGGAAGGATATTTGCATCAAACAATGGTGGCCCTTTACCAGCGTCTGTGATGATCAAGGGGAGTGATTATGGAGTATGTTTTGTTGAAACACCTTTGTTTGTAAAAACCTTCTTTTTGTTGACTATACTATTCTTCAAGTTTTCAGGGTGCTTGCTAATTTTCATTGTTTTTATGGTAATTCTGAAGCTTTTAGCAAACTGTTCTATTCCATTCTAGATTGCTCAGCTCTTTTACCGTGTATTTTCTTGTTTGGTTATTAACTAGTTTGCTATTGATATTGTTCTTAAGACTACCATATCATAACCTAAAGAAAACATGGTTAATTATTGTTGAAATTCTATGGAGGGTGGCTTTGGAACATGTTGTTTTCTCTCCTTTTCAGGAGAAAGTTTAGAGACAATGAATTATTTTGATGAAAAATTCGCCATTGGTAATATTTTTTTTATAAGAGGAGACTTTCAACACATATCATGGTGAACTACCATTTTGACAGAAACCTTAGTTAATTTAGTTTAAATTTGTTGTGTATTTCCTTATTAGTTTTGCATAATCTTAAAAATGTAAATAGATCTTGAATGCCTTCTACCAACATAACCATAGATCTTTTGTGGCGTTTGACTTCCATTACTCATAATTTGCATACTCCTTTACTTTAGCAAACTATCGGCATTCGGCAGTCACTGTGGAATAAAAAAATTGGATACCTTTTGTATGGCATTTAAGGAAGCTTTAATTTGGCTGACATTTCATCCAACTCCCACTGCCTATTCTTTTGTTTTTGGCTCTCTGGGAAGTTTCGTTAATGCTATAAATCTGGCAAGGATAGAAATTGTTTCTACGTCCAATTAACCGGTAAGTGGGGTTTTTCATTAGAAATTTAATCACTTATCTCAAGTTGTTTCTTTAATAAATGAGTCCTTACCAGCATGACATTAGACATGTTGACTGCTGTCAAATGATGCTTCTTTTGCTTAATAATTTGCTAAGTGCTCTTTTACTAAAATAATCATAGAATTCTTTGTTAGTGTTAATTCCCTTGTTTTAGGGGAGCATCGTGGTGAAAAGATAGTTTGATTGAAACTCTGCTTTTGTTTGCTGCTCATTTCTTATTTTTTGTCTCTATAGGTGAATGCCAGCAGGATATTTGGTGATTTTCATCGCATGTTAGCTCCTCATGAAAGCTATGAAGGTAAATCTTATGTAAAATGTTTAAAAAGAGAATCCATGCGTTTCATTGACTGAGGCATGTGACTATATATTGTCATATAAGACAAGTACACAATAAAGATAATTAGTTGAATATCCTCAATTTAATGGATATAAAACATCATAAAATTATATCTCCTAATTTAATATTTTCCAAAGATAACATATTTCAATGTTATTTTTTTTTCTCACAATAACACTCACCCTCAAGCTAGAGCATATAAATCTAAAAGTTTTAATTTGTTATGAAGATTAGAAAAACTAAGAGGTTTCATAGCTTTGGTACAGTTATCAACCAACAGTTCTATACTTGAAATGTAAGGTGTGGTGATCTTTTTTGATAAGATTATATCTCTGATGATGTAAAAATCTACTTTATTAGTTTTAGTTCTTTGATGGAATATAAAATTACTTGCAAAGCAAATAGTTGTCTGATTATCTCATCTGCTGATCGTAGGTTGTTATATAGTAAATCAACTCTTTTGCAAGTTTTGACACATCATTTTGTAAGTAGAATGAGTAATGAGTAGGGGGTGTAAACGAGTCTAATTGAGTCAAGTATTTTCCTAATCGAGCTAAGTTTGTTTATTTCTTATTGAGCTCGAGCTCATTTACTAAGCTTGAGCTTGACTTGTAAATAAATTTATTAGCTCGAGCTCAAACTCTATTGTAGAGCTAGATTTCTTAGTTTTAAATTAAAATTTTTATTTTTAATATAGAAGTACTTTAAAAATATTAAAATATATTATATAATGCTAATTTAAATTATTTTTAAAATATATTTTTAATTAATCGAGTGGCTCAACGAGCTTTGGAGCTTGAGATCATTTAATATACGAGCTCAAGTATAAGCTCGAGCTCGAACTTGTGGCTTGATAAACTCGGCTCGAGAGCTTGTTGACAAGCCGAACTCGAGCCGGCTCGTGAGCTAGTTCGGCTCACTTATACCCCTAGTAGTGAGCCAATATTCAGCATAAAACTTGATCTTGCTTCTTACTTTTTCAGTATATGAAATTTTGACTAATAAACGCACAATATCCTATGTAGATTTTCAATCTTCAAACAGAGTCAACGTAGTCAATATTAAAAAAAAACTTCAATTCTCAAAGGATTTTTCTTCTAATTGACCAAATATTATCTCAAAGATTTGTTGATATCTCAAAAAATGTTTAGTAGCCTCTTAATCTATATTCTTTGAATTTTAAATATGTTGATTGTTGACATCAACAATAAATTATATATCAAATTTAGTGGCAGTTAAATTAATTAGTTTGCTAACAAGACGTTGATATCAAGAAGGATCTTCATAGCTTTTGTCATCGGGTGAATTTGTGTTTTCACAGTAGAATCAAACAGGTTTACACCCCTGAGATCAGTTTTTTCAAGAAGATATGTTGCGTGTTTACTTTCACAGAGAGAGAGAAAGAAATGTCTTTTAATATTTGAACTCGATGCCAACAAAATATGTGCTCAAAATTCTTGGTGATAAATTTCTTATGCTGATAATTTTATATTTCAATGATACTTGATATATTCTAGTGAGAAAGGTGCCAAAATCATAGTGCTTAAGAAAGGATGTCAAATAAAGATGGATTGATAAGTTATGCTATTTGATAGTCCAATGTTAGTAAGAAGTTTACAAAGTTTAACAAAGTATGCACGATGACTTTATTTTAATTCATATGTATCCTTCATAAGCTTATAAAGAGTGATGATGGGTACAAGGAAGGTGGAGACGGGTCAGGGGATATGTTGGGGAGTAGCGTTGACCATACATGGGATTTAGATGAGGGAGAATTTTCTCCCATTGGAGTTAGGGAGCACTGATATCATCCTGGAGATGAAGTGGTTGTAGACCTTAAGGGACACCAAGGTCATAGGGTGCATTGATGGTGGAAGGGAGAAGGATAGTGATCAGAAGAGATGCGGGGCTCACCAAAGCCATGATATCACTTAAAATCAAGGTGAGGAGCATACAGGAGATGGGGGAAGGTTATTTGATGGAACTACATAGGCTAGAGGGGATCAGATTGAAGGAGGGCAGGGACATTCCTCTTTCAGTACAACCATTGATTTAGCAGTTCAGTGAGGTTTTCAGCTGCCTCAGGGGTTGCCTCCTCCGCGGTAACACGAGCATGTTATCATCTTGAAGGAAATAGTTTCACCTCTCAGTGTTTATCCGTATCGTCATCCTCAATTCAGAAGGATGAGATCGAAAGATTGATTAGGGAGATGCTTGAAATAAGGATCATTCAACCCAATATCAGTCCAGTGTTATTGATCAAGTGCTTTAGCAACAGTTTCTTTCGTTCCACCTTGAGGACAAGGTAACACTTTGCGAGGGGAGTATTGTTAGGCCGGTCCATTGGACCGCTCCAGCCGGTCCCTTATGGACCGTCTCAAGCAGCCCAGGCGGAACAGAGGCGGAAGTTCCGCCTCTACTGTACGTGTCGCTCTAGCCGCCGGGTCCAAGGAAGCTATTTAGAAAGGATTTTTGAGGGAGTTGGGAGGGAAATTTCAAAGTAGGGGGTTGTTTAGAGATTTCCTCTGAATTGTATGCATGAAATAGTTTGTTTTTCTATGATTAGAGCATCTTGAATTTGGCTGAAATTTTAGCTCTTAGGTTTTTGGGCTCTAGCGGCGTCTACAGATTTGGGAGAGATAGATCCTCTCGAATAGAGGGTCAATTGTATCTTGTTATGTTGATTCCATTAGTTTGACTATCACAATAAAATTATTAATTTTCTGATTTTTTCTCCTTTGAGCCCTCATTCTTTATTTCAAAAGAAAAGTTTTGCTGAATCAATTTCAGCACTTCCGTATCTTCAAGCTCTCAGTCACTGGCTTGAACATAAGAGAGTTTTCTCCAGGACAAAATTCCATGTTTAGTATTCTTACTTCTTATTTTGTTGATTGTGCGCAAAATATAACATCTAGCTCCAGACGACCTATCAGACTCAAATTCTATCAGCATCAAATACCATTTCCAACGCAACAATACTAAATGATTGCCATATGATGATAAAGTGATGAAGCTTCGTGATAGCTTTGTATGCTTACCTATTGATGGTCCTTGCAACGGACAAACTTAAGGCCTCGTTTGGGACGGCTTTCTTTCTGCTATCTAAAGCAGTAAGAAAGCCGTCTCAAACAAAACCTAAGCATCTAACAAAACGCACCAATTCCTGCCATATTGCTATTGATCATTATGAGATATCTTCAGCTATATTTCTTATGATGATTAAGCCAACAACTTTGCTTTTGCTTTTGCCTTCTTGCAGTCACTGCTTCAATGCCTGGATTCAAATCAAAAACTACTAAGATTTTTCTGGAGGATAAAGCTGTGAACCTAGATTTCGTATTGGATCCAGAAGAAAATCAAGCACAGTTCAACAGATTTGATCTCAATAAGTCGGGCTTTCTAAGTATGTATTTAGATTATTTTCCCATCATTTTCCTTATATCCCTATCATTCCTGTGCTTTCTTCTAAAGAGGAAAGCAATTTTCAAGTTCCTGAAACAAAGCCAATCGCAAGCACAAAAGAGCCCCACTTCAGCGGTATGATTTTCAGTATCGAACTCCAGGCCACCAATGTTGTACAAATTAAGACTTTGTTTGGCAGAGCTTTTTTATTGCTTTTTAAAACAGTTTTTTAGTAAAAAAATTTCAGTTCAAGAGATTTTTGTAGTACAAATTTGGGTTAAATAGTAGTAAGAAAGTTGTAGCAAATGGTACTTTAATTAGTGATTAAAATTCAAAAACCTTGAAAGCGATTGCTAACTAATGAGTTAATTTTATTCTTTTCTTTTTGGCTGATGCTTAATTTATAAAATTAATGGCTAATTTGACCAAATCAACCATTAAACAATGACGGAATTACAGAAGTTATTAAATTGATGAATAGATTTAAGAGTTATTAAATTTATTTTGATTGAGTAATTACAGATTATATTTATTTTTAAATAAGTTTAATAATTAAAAATTAATTTCTTGACAAATTAAAGTTTAGTTAGGAAATAAAAAAGTTTTTTTTATTGTTCTTTAAAGTAACTTTTTAGTAAAAAAAGAAAAAATTAGTTTTCAATAGTAGTAAGAAAGTTGTCTCAAATTATATTTATATTATTGATTAATATTCAAAAACATTGAAAGCGATTGTTAACTAATGAATTAATTTTATCCTTTTCTTTTTTGCTGCTGCTTATTTTATAAAACTAATGGCTAATTTGACCAAATCATCCGAAAAACAAAGACTGAAAGGCAGAAGTCAAGCCTTAAGGTGCCGTTGGATGAAATTTATAGTATAATAGAAATAAAATCCAAGTAAATATGTTATGATTACAAATTAATGAATGGATTTTAGAGTTTTGATAGCCTAAGGACGTTTTGTCAAAAAAGCAATGAAATGATTGAGAGGACAATCATAGACTTAAAGGAAAGGTTTTTTATTTCAGGGTGTTTGGCGGTGTGATTAATCCTCGGCTGACTTAGAAGAGGCACCCATCTCAGAAATCTCATAGTCCGCATTTAATTGGGCATTTCTTTTCTAAGGGGGGTAAAAACTTCTTTAAAGAGCAAGCTTGTCACAAGTGTACAGTTGACTTAATATATCAATAGTTAAATTTATTTTTTTCCCCATAAAAAATTTTTTTTATAATTTTTTTTTTTTATGTGAAATTGTAAAACTGTAAAAGATAATAATTTGATACTTTTATATAAGATGTTTTTATAGCTTTCAAAAGGAGACTAAAATTTATTATTTTTACTCTTTCATATCTTAAAAACTTATCAAATATGTTATGTGATCTTATCATGTGTGTCGTAACCACAAATTATATAAATCACACAAATTTTTAATTAACCAAACTTTAATTTTATGTATTATACAATATATATTAAAAGAGATCAAAATTGGGCATGCACCAATTGTCAAACTCCTTCAACCCACTAGCTTAAGGGTATTTTTAGGACGGCTTAAGCGTTTTTATAAAATTGATTATAAAGGTTTTGTTGGAAAAATAGTTTAGTTACTCTTCATGATTTGCTCAAGGCATTCGGAGCTTGAACTTAATTAATTAATTGAGTTTGAGTTCAAGCTCGAGCTAAATTCAATGAGTTCATGTCGGCTCATGAGCTGGCACATTTATTATAGAAAGGAGAAAATGATTATAATTCAAGCAATTAATATAATAAATGATAAAAAAAAATAAAGAACTATAGGAGAAATAATAAATTGATATAAGAAAATGAGATATAAATTTTGAATATTTTTAATAGATTGATGGTTAACTATTTGAATCATAATATATTTTAGATTTAATTTATATTAATATTTTTTAAATGAGTTAGCTCACTAGCTAACAAATTGAGTCATAACTAGGCCAAACTTGACTCATTAGCTAATCAAGCTTAGCTCAAAAGTCATTTATTGAGCAAAACTCAAATCAACTTGATTCACTTTTAGCTAGGGGTGTAAATGAGTCAAGTCGAGCTCGAGTCATACTTAACTTGAGTTCAGCTCGTCGTTCAAATTGCTAGCTCAAACTCGATCTCAAATGACCTGCTCGAACTCGGCTCGTGGGTAGTGGATGGGGGCTCGTGAGCCAGCCAGATAGGTGTGCTTGAACAGGCCGACGTTCGCTTCCGCTTCCACAATTGGTTTCGGTTTCAAGTTCCGCCTTCCGCCACTTTGCCTTCCTCTTTTGCAGGTGCACTTGTATTTTCACGTTCGAGGTTCCGCTTTCAACTCTCGTGACCTCCGTATTCGCTTCCACTTCTGCGTCAGAGGTTCCATCTTCAGCTTTTGCTTTCGCATTCGTGGTCCCGCCTTTCGAGCCAACTGTTTCTCCTTCCGCACTCAATCCGCTTAACAAGTCAATGAGTCAAGCTGTGGCTCAATCGAACTCAAGCTCAATTATCCAACGAACTCATAAATTTGCTCGAGCTCTAAACTCGATATGCTCAAGTCGTGAGCTTGTTATCGAGTTGAGCTCGTGCAAGCTCACGAGTCACGTGCAAGCTCACGAGTCAACATGACTTGTTTGCACCTGTACTTATAGCGGTGTTAAAATAGGTCAATAGACCAGGTTCACATCAAACTCAAAATCGACACGACTCAAATGTCAATCTAAACCTGACGTGTTTAATAAGTGAGTGAAAAATACATACTCAAATCGGATTCCCTAGCAACAAAATGACCGAACGAGACCAAATAACCCGTTTATTTAAAAAAAAAAATCAACATTAGATTTTAAATTAATTAATAAAAAATAAGAAAATCATATTAACAAGTAAAAGAATTTAATTTAAAACCGTCATTTCAGATCAAAATTATGTTGATATTCTTCTTCTTCTTAAAAGCCTACAGGATAGTAACCTCGAAGCCATAAGTCGTTCCTGAGCAGCCCAGCGATGCCCTCACCATTTTTAGCCCAACTCGAAGATATTCTGGTGCGATGTGGGCCCACTAATAAGAAAATAGGGCATTTTAGAATTATTACAAGGGGAAAACGAAGACCGACCAGGGGTTGCTTACAAGCCTATAAATAGTCGAACTAACCACCGTATTCCTCGCCGGTGGATGGTCGATGAAAAATAAAGGAATCTCACTCTCTCTCTTCTTCGCCTTTCTAAGGAAGTCAAAAACGTCGGCGTTTCCTTCGCTTCTTCCTCCACATCGGAATTGAATCTGATTATTCGATTTCAACAGATAAACGAAATCATCTCAGAAACCTGTTTCTTGTACGATCCATACTTGTTTCATCGGATTAGACCCACGGTGGGGCGATGGAAGTCTTGGATCGGATTCCGAACGAAGCGAAGAAGATCCTGCACTCCCTGGCGTCGGAATGGAGTGACGTGTCGGACTCGAGGGCGATCGAGGTGGTGCCGCTTAAGGGAGCTTTGACCAACGAGGTGTTTGAGATCAAGTGGATGGCGGAGGGGACAGGTGAGGGGGAAAGGGGGAGGAAGGTTTTGGTGAGGATTTATGGGGAAGGGGTGGATGTGTTCTTCAATCGGGAGGATGAGATCCGGACATTTGAGCTCATGTCGAGGCATGGACAGGGCCCGCGTTTGCTTGGGAGATTCCACAATGGTCGCGTCGAGGAGTTCATTCATGCCAGGGTATAGTATAGTTCCATCTGGAAGAAATTTTTTATTTATCATTAATTGATATTCTTCCGATTCTTTTGTAAAGCGATTCGTTGTCCTTTTTATATATTTAAACTTTTCTTCTTGATTCATCATCCGATTATAGCCTGCGCCTGTTTGATATGCTTATCTGCTTTTTTGTGTTAGTCTTTTTGTGAGGTCTTATATGATTATATGCGGCCTGTAGAAGAAAGGTTAAACCAGTTAAACTTGGTTCCGGATTTTAATTAATTTATTAGTGGTTCTAATTTTTTCAGAATCTCAGCTTTGGTTCTTTCCTTTTATTTTTATTTTTCTTCTCGAACGGAGAAAGGTTGGCTGAATTTGAAGCTTATGTAACTTATGCAATTTTTCTTCTTCGGGAAAATTAAAAGATGATGATACGCTTGCAAGAAACTTAGCGGTTTGTATTTAGCTATTAATTTAAGTACCAAGATTTTGACTCGTGCTTAATAGATCTTTGCTTCAGTTGCCTATTATCTACTCACCCGAAAATTTGTATGCCTTTTTCGATCTGCTCTGCCGAACTTTTTGGCAAACTTCTGATTCACCTTTCGCTTGAAAAGATACGAGCCTTCCATGCTATGGGGGCCCACTGGGCCCTTCTTGGTTTGAATTTTCATTTTCATAAAAGTCTTTAATACCGCCGTCGAAGTAGCTGTTATAGGAAAAGTTTGAAAACAGCTCGATAAGGCTATATTTGACGGATTATCGCATAAACTTTTGATGGACCGCTAAAATAATGCATATTTTTTAGTTTTTAATTGTGGTTGTCATCTTTCTTTGATGTGAAAAGAAATTGTAAATTTTTGTGAACTTCTTAAGTTCTTATCTAGTTTCAATTCAGTTACGTATTGACACTAATCATTTTTAAAAAAATAATTCTAAAAACTCTAATAAATTAATAGTTAGAGACATGAAAATAGACTTGCTTTTCTATTGCTTTTATCAAGCTACAGTTTTCACAGAAGAGATGAACAGCAAGTTTGTCCCTTAAAACCATCTAGAAACTGCATGATAATCGTGGATCTTAGGTTCACAATCAACTTCTTATGTGTGTGTTTGTGGACTCATTGAAATTTCTTTTTTCATATTTATAGAGATGGGATTAATTATTGATTGGTATTTTGATGAAATTGTGACTGATTACTCCATGGTTGTAGGATGTGTTGTTGGTATTAGTCTCCGCATCTTCTAGTTTTTAAAATTTGTCATTGATTTTGTAACTTGTGTTCGTCATAAAATATATGCTGCTTGCTTGTTATTTTCTTTTGGTTGCAGGTTTGTTGTGAATGATATTCGAGTTCAATGTGTGGTGGAGCGGAGTTCAAAGGTTTGTGATGTTATGAGACACTGCGCTTGTAATGTTCTGTACAAGTTCGATTTAATATTGCTCATCAAGAAATACAAAAGGGGAAAAATATTAAGAGCTTAATTTGATTGAGAAAATACTGTAGGATTTAGGCAAGTATATTACTTGTCCAGTTGTCCTTTTATTGTGGAAACTTTCTTAAAGTTCTTTCAGTGGATTATGTGCATTGAATTGTTCACTTGATATATCCTTGAAGTGTCATATATATGCATGAACTATTGTTGAACATAAAATCTCTTTTTTTTTTCCTTTGATAGACCTGAGCTGATGTGTATTATTGCGGGCTTTCTTTCCTCTTGGCCTGTTGTGTGCTTTGGCCGTGGTGCTTTGGACTTATGAGCATTAGGTACTGGGTTTGGCTTTATTTTCATAAAGTTAAAAAAGAGTGGAGAGAGAGAGAGAGAGAGAGAGAGAAGAGAATCAAGTTTTGTATTATTTTGTTTCACCCTAAAGACTCTCTCTCTCTCTTTCACATGTGAATATTTCTACTGGTGTTAATTTCATCGAAAATACAGGATTTTAAATTTAGATGTAGATTATGCAACTTTTAGGTATGTCATGGGATGAGATTGGATTCAAATTTTAAGTTTATGTGTATCATTGTTTTATTCAGTCAAATTTAACTAGATTATGAATTGTGCGAATCATATATATTGGTATGGGAAAAGAACTATATAAATTATTATTCTGAAGTCATATAATTATCATATTTTGGTCTAATAAAAATTTCTTTCTCATTTTTTAATATGCTAAATGCAAGTTAGATATGTGATTCCTTCGCGTGCAATGCGAGTGCAAATATTTGATTCCCAAGGAAAGAGGCTTAGTTTTCTTACTTTGGTATTTGTTTTCCTTGTTCGTTTCATCTGTGTTATTTGATATTGACTTGTTTAATGCTTTTGATTTTAATAAATGCGGGCTTCAAAAATTTACTTTCCAGCTATTGAGTGAGTTCTAATATTTTTCGGGTCAAATTTTTGAAAGACAAGTTAGGTTACAGATATGGCACTAAATAGAAATTTCATTCTCATTTTGTGATAACTTTATGATATGTTCCATATTTTAGATAGGCGCAAATCTCAAGGTTTACTACACACTTCTTAAGGCCATGGAAGCTTCTCGAGAAGGTCATACACTTCTTGAGATAATTGCATGCTTCTCAAAGTGGTTGTACGCTTCTATGAGAGCACAATTGAATTTAAAAATTATATTATGATCCATGCCTAGTTTGAGAATATTAAAATTGTTATTATTTGCTCAAGTGTCTACTTTTGAAATACCCATAAAGTTTTATTTTGAAATTTAAAGTATGTCTTCCTCCGCTTGTGTATATATGTTGCAGATTTGATGGCTCATAAGGCTATTAGGAACCTTTAAGCACATTAAGAAATGTCAGTTTTGTCTTGTTGTATTTGTAATTTTGTATTATGACTCCCAAATGGAACATTCTCCTCTTATAACTATGATGAGTTTGTTTGGTTCACTTTCACATTTTGTGCTTAATTCATAAAGTCTTTCTGAGTTTTTTATTCCTGAGAGTTCTAGAGATGATTAGCCTTTGTTCATCCCCGTATGCAAGCTTTTACGTTCATTGAACGTCCCTTGTATTTGCTGCTTTTGTTCAATGTTTGTCTTTATGTTATAATTTTTGTTCTTTTATTTGCTTGAATTTTATTCAAAAATATCATTTGATGTCATATTCCCTATCGTTCATTTTTAATTTGGCGGCCTTGAGGAGGTATATTCGGGATTGCTAGGCCTTTCCATTACGTTTAAAAAATATGCATAATTGTTATCGTGCGGCACTCAATATTACCGTACTTAAAAAAGCGACAGTAAATCTTCATCACAGGGAAGAGCAAAAACATGAAGTTTCCCCTGCATATTGGACAATAATTAAGAGTATGTAATTTACAAATTTATTGCCACGTTAAAATAACATGCAGATTTTAAGGCTTTAAATCTTACAGTTGGAGCAAAAACAACACAATGAAGTTGCGTTGAAAATGAAACTCAATATTTTATTTTCATTTTTTTAATTTTTATCTCTTTTTTATTCTTTAACTTCTTGTCTTTTTTTTTACATATTATATGTAGAGAGAGGATATATATATATATATATATATAGAGAGAGAGAGAGAGAGAGAGTAAGAAAGGGAAGAGAGAGAGATAGAGGAGAGGGAAATAGTGAGAAAAAGGAGAGAAATTTGAGAGAAAATGGAGTCCCTAGGGAGGGAAAGAGAAGAGAGGGAGAGGTTAGAGAGAAATAAACGAGTAGGGAGAGGGAAGGTGGAGTGGACGGGTCATTGTCTATGTGAGGTGTTGGTCAAATTTTAATTATGTTGTTCTTACAGGTTACCATAATAATTTAAGCATTATAGGTTGATATAAAGGTTGGGATAAATTGAATAAAGATTTAGGAAGATTTCACTTGTAAAATCCCTTCTCTCTCTCATTCTCTCTTACAAGAAGGATTAAGAAGCTCTCAAGATTCCTCCTAAATTTCTTAACAAATGGTATCAAAGCCTCATTGAGGTGATCGAGAAGCAAGAAGCTTATGGGCTTGGCAAGGAACTCGTACGAAGGCTTTCGGGCTCGTTCGTGCTGTTCGTTCTTGTCGATCAAGCAAAGGAGTTGGAAGCAAGGTCAGACACACAGGCCCAAGGCGCAAGCTCGGACAGACTCGCACAGGGTGCATACGAGGGGATGAAGCGGGCGCAATGCTCAAGTATGAACGGACTCGCACACTAGGCACGGGCAAGGGTCTGACGTGGGGCCCGGGCAGGAAAATCGCTTGAGAAGCCTGTACGGTTCGGAGGAAGGTCACCGCATGCGTGACCTGGTGCTGTGCAGGTCAGAGCTATGGGAGGACAAAAAGCGGGCTGAGCTAGGAGGCGTGCAGGAACAAGCATTACAATGGATGTCGTGGGTACCTCTTCTGAAAGAACTTCGGAAGCAGCACATAAGACGACTTCTGAAGGTAAGGAGAAGCTGCAGCAAGAGGAAGAGATAAGGCGCACACTGGTGCAGGTGTTCGATTGGGAGCAGAATTCGGACAGAGGGCGGCGTACCCAAGCTCGGGATCATTAGCAAAAGGCCCATGGGAGTGCAAAGCACGGGATTGGGCCTTATCAAATTGGAGGCCGAAGATTCAAAATCTTGTTCTTTACTAAAGATCTTTTTTGTTCTTTTGAGGTGGAGCTTCAGGGTCATTTGGTTAGCTATTGTGTGTTAGAGCAATGGATCAAGAAAGGCAAGATCAAGAACTAGGGCGACAAGTTGTTCGCGAACATGAAATCAGACAGGAGTTGTGCGAGGTCGCAAGTTGGAGCACACACGAGTGTCTCAGGAAGGCTGGCAAGTCGGTGCTGGAGCGTGGGCGTTCTGTGCAAGAGCAAATGCGCAGGCCAGAAGCACGCGGGAGCATGCGATGCATAAGGCACAGACGTGCGAATCACGAGTGGAACAACGGGAGCGTGAGCTGGAGCCGCGGATTGGAACACACATTGGAGGCCGTTTGCCAGCAGGATTAGGCTCAGTTCGACAGGATTACTCGTGGTGTTAGTGCAGGCAGGGGCGGATCCAGCTTCTTTTTTCAGGGTTGGCAAAAAAAAAATTTTTTGTGGGGGATGGGCAAAGATGCTTAGGATTGATTAAATGAGGGCAAAAAAATTTTTTGAGAGCGGGCAAAATACCCAAAATACTCAAAATATTTCAAAATATCTCACTAAAATTAAAAAAAAAAATTGAGGGGGGGCATTGCCCCCCCTCAACTACATGGGGATCCGCCCATGAGTGCAGGGTGCCTGTTAGATCGCAATAGGTGCACAGATGATTCTTTGATTGTAAAACTTGGACAAAGGTGAAGATTGTGAGGTGTTGGTCCAGTTTTAGTCAGGTTGTTCATGCTGGTTACTACAATAATGTAAATGCCTATATATAGACATTTTAGGCTGATGTAAAGGTTGGGGAAAATTGAATAAAGTTTTAGGAAGATTTTCCTCCTAAAATCTATCCCTTGTCTCTTTCCCTCTCTCTTACAAGAAGGCTCAAGAAGCTCTCAAGATTCCTCCTAAATTTCTAACAATCGATGGAGATTTGTATAAAAGAAATTGGGTAGGAGATGGTGATGGGGATGGCAGGTTGAGGGTTGGACGGCTGGGAGCGATGCAGACACCTCAAGAAAAGGGGTTTGCTTGATGTAGGGTTTGTTTGTGTGTGCTCAAGCCCAACATAGAAGCGAGAGGCAAGGGAGGGGGGGCAGTTGGACGAGAAGGAGAAGAGGGAAGACGGGCTTGGGTTTATAGGCGAGGAGAAAGAGAGACTAGAGAAGCTGTGGAACCCTTTAAGTAAAAAGAAGCTAAACTCTTAAACATCAATGAGCATTTTGATGTAATGGTTGGAATTTTATTATGAAATTTTTCAGTTAAGCGTGCTCATCCCGGAGTAATTCTAGAATTGGTGACCTACTTGGAAGTTACACCAACGTGACAAAACCGTGAGGTCCTTAGGCCAAAGAGGACAATATTTTTGGAAAATCAAAATTTATTCAACATATAATAATACATCTTATTCAAATTTTACAACACATACATCGGTTAACAAAAAAAAAAATAATACATCTTATTCAACTTATGGAAATCAAAATTTATTTTACTCATTAATTTTATATGTTCCTTTTTTTTTTTTTAAACAAAAAACAGATTAATAAAAGCAAATACGGTTACATCAGAAAATGACCAGAGAAAAGCGAGAGTGAAATACAATCACATATGGCTCAGTATAACGACCGAGGCTTCCAGCATCCCTGTAACCTCGCACGGACCGTCCATACGGTGAAAATAGCGCCCACATCCAATCGAAACCGAAGGTTGCCACTAGCTCGGCCACAGGGACACGAGCTCCAGCCACATCATAGCCTTTATAACCTCAGAAATCAAACAGAGAGAAGCAGAGGAAAGCAAGATCGTCTTCGACTACGCCCCCTCCGGCGGCCCCTTCCGCGAAATCTCCCGCCCCCACGAGAAATAGCAGGTCTATCTCGCACCAAGGTAAAATCATTACCAGGATCCGAACCACCGTAAAAATCCGGATCAGCCAAATTGCAATCCGAAAACTCCGATCCATATTCAAATTCGGAAGAGCCATATAACCAATCCCCCTGGTTAGAGAAATCGGATCCAGGATTAATACCCAAACGCTGAACCAAATGCTGCATATCAACCAAGTTAACAGAGACATCCACCAGATTATTCGAACAATTCGAATTGTTACCCAGATTATTTTCCACAATACAATCTTTATGCTCAGAAATAGTATTCAAAATAACAGCATCAGGTGGCGATTGAACCAAGTCATCAGAACCATAAGACCGGGCTGTCAACCGTAGTGAGCCCCTGCACATCCATATTAGCATTTATTTCCCCCACCAAAGAGACCAAATTATCACCATTACTCTGATTCCGAACAGCAAAATCATCATCAACCGAAATACCCTCATTCACAGCCAATTGATCATTTACGACAGATGAAGGAAAAAACGGCACAGCATTTGGAGACAAAGAAATATCTGCCTCAACCGCAACACTATCCTCCATAGTTTTATCCAACAAAACACCAACCGTTGGCTTAAAGCCTGTTCTCTATCAGAAACAACAACTGGCACAACCGACTCCATCACATTCGACTCAAACATAACAATTTCATTTTGAGCATCAACAACAACAGGTTCCTTCAACACTGGTACCACACAATGATTTATCGCAGTTTTTGACACATTACGATTCGGGTGCAAAATAGGACAAGCATCCTTAGAATGTCCTAGAGAACTACAATGATTACAAAAACTGGGAATATCATCAAATAAAACAGTCTGAATATACCCAGATTCCACAGATCCAACCCAAACCTTCTCCTCATGTTTCTTGGTAACATCCAATTCAACCAATATACGAGGTACCGACGGCCGCGACCCAGAAGCCGTAGCCAAATCAGATTTGAGGGGCCGACCGAAAAGAGAGCCTAAACCAAAGAGTATTCTAGGAGTAAATAAATGGGGCCTAAGAAGAGGGAAAGAGACCCAAATCGGCACAATAGGAGAATCCAACTCAACATCCAAATGGTGAGTCCATTTCACCACTTTCATATAACAATTTTGAACAAAATAGGATCTATGGGAAAAAATTCTGCAATAATCAAAATCATTCTCAAGTTTTATCAAAACATTCCGATTATTGAGCACAGTAACTGAAAAATCCCCAATCAACTTTAAACTAAAACAAAATTTCCGAATGGCTTCGACAGAGGGTCTCCGCCCCGGAAAACGACCAACCAAAGAGAACTCAAAAGGCTTAGCAAGCGACCTAATTTCATCATCCGAAATAAACAGCGCCGGCAAGCCACGATGAGAAGAAAAATTCAGAGCTGGAAAAGAGGAAGAAGAAATACCCGAAACCGCATCCTTGAACGAAATAGGAGTCGCTATTCCGCTCAGGAAACCAGGATCACGTATACGGGAAGCCGCCATACACGAAACCAAGAGCAAAGAGGAAAAAAATCGCTCACCAGACGAAAGCGAAGAGGAGGCGGCGGATGGGACGAAAGAGGCGTAACCCTAGCAGAGCCATTTGCTTCTTAGTAAAGAAGTTTGAACTTGAATTAATTTTATATGTTCCTTATTCCTCGTGGAATGTCTCAAATTATTTCGTTCATGTCATTATTGGTGAGGTTTTAATTTAGTGATTGTTGGTTTAAATTTATGAAAGCTAAGTTGTTTAACTAATTGATCTGCAAATATTCAATTTCTTTTATATGAACTTATACCACTTCTCATATTAATTATATTAGAAAATCCTGGCTATAATTCATTTTGCTCTTCAGAAATCTTTTTAACTGATGTTTTTTGCTTGCTCCTGTGAAAAGCAACAAACAAGTAAATATTCAACATCCTAATGTTGTTGTACTGACCTTTGTCTATGGTTATTGAAAATTGAATGATACAATTTCTCTAATAAGCTATGCTTTATAATCATTATTCATAAATAATTTGTAACCTATTTTTCCTTGATTTCTAGAACTCGGTTTCTGTGGACAGGGAAAGTAATTGTATCATTCAAATGTCAATATAAATGGCTCAGATAAAACCTTTTTTTCTTGTTCAGATTGATTCGATTTAGTTTTTAAAGCAGATGCAAATTATTTCAGTTTAAGTATTAATTCATGAAATTTCTTCCCATGTCTTTCTTAATGTCTGATCTTCTGATATTTTCCTGCATGTTTTAAACTCCAGACTCTATCAGCAACTGACCTGCATGACCCGGAAATATCTGCTCTTATAGCTTCAAAACTTAGAGAGTTCCACGATCTTGACATGCCTGGTCCAAGGAAAGTTCATTTATGGGACCGATTAAGGTATGTTGTTGTAACCTTAATAATTCAGTTTCAATTTTGTTGCTGCTAACTTAGTGGTCTTTTTGTCTGTTTCCTTTAGAAATTGGCATAAAGCAGCCCAAAGCTTGTGCTCTACCGAGCAAGCTAAGGAATTTTGCTTGGATACTTTAGAAGAGGAGATTAGTTCCTTGGAAAAGTTGTTGACAGGGGATGATCAGAGAATTGGATTCTGCCACAATGATCTTCAATATGGCAACATTATGATGGATGAGGAAACAAAACAAATTACCATCATAGTGAGTTTTCCCGATCAATTTATAAACTTCATATGTTTAAACCAAAAAACAAAGTTTGACAGAAAATATATAATTATATTGTAGGCAACAACTTTAATGAGAAGATGAAGAACACACAGAAAATTTTCTTTTTTATTTCTAACTCATATCCCGAAATGTAACTAGTCATTCTTGCGTGCCTCTATAGCTTCATCAAGTTATTCACTCTATTTAATGCTAAGTTAAGAAAAAAGTTTTTTATTAAAATTAAGGTGAGAAAAAAATCATTTTAACACAATTATTTGCAATCTTGTAAATCTACTAGAAAGCTGTACCTTAAGCCTATTGATCCAGGATATAGATCTTAATACGATTTGTGTGATAGGTGGGATCCTTTTATCTAAAGAAATTTTGATAATTTGCATATCACAAGTTATCAATTACACCAGCAATTTACCTTCTTTATGAAAACAAGTGATAGTAAAATTTAACTTACCTGGACAGGGTCTTTACAAGTGATCAAGAATATATGTGGTCTAGACTAGCGACCTTCATTGCACTTTGAAGTGGCGCTGGTTTACCATATGCCAAAGCGGTAGAGTGGACGTCATAATTTGTAGCAGAGGGGTGCGCGGCCCCTATTTTAGAAAAACAAAAGTGATAGTAAAATTTCTTTTAAAGATAAGGCCAAACTACAGCAGGAACTACCAAGTCGCTAGTCCCTTCTAAGCTCTCTCAATTTCTTTTAAAATATGTAACTTCAAAATTTGCCGCATAACAGTAAACGCCAAAGACCACCACTCCATTTTGTCTGGCTTTAAAAAAACTCGATTATGATGTATTGTAGATTTATGTGGTGGCCTAAGGACAATGCTTCCTCGTCACAAAAAAAAAAAGATTTATGTGGTGGGAGTGATGGCGGTTGTCGATAGGATAGTAGCGGTAACCAGTGAAGTAATTACAGCATCTGTAGTTGTCGTCACTCGTCACTGATAGTTGTTTTTAAAAATACTCAAAATATCTAAGAGTAACTTTTCGGGGTTTTAAAAATTTTGATTTATTTTTTAAAGTAGAAAATTAAAATATTTAAAATGCACTAAACAAACAAATAAACATATTCTTAAAAAACAAAACAAAAAACCAAAAATAAAAGTGATCTCAAATATGTCCAAAATAATTTGAACGCATTTTCTAAATTCAAGTAACAAAATAAGCCCTTAGCTTAGATGGAAATAATTTATGATATGATGGCCTATCTTTTATCTTCCCTAAAGCATAGCATGTAATCAATCAAAATTTATGCTGCAAAATCTTGAAGTAAGGCCAATAATTTTGAGACTCATCCCATGCAATTTTCTTATTATATATTCATATTTGCGATGGTGTTTTTTTAGCTTGTACGACATACTAATAAGTGCATTAATCATGTTTGTACTGCTTGTTTGTTTGCCAGGACTACGAGTATGCAAGTTTCAACCCAATTGCATACGATATCGCTAATCACTTTTGTGAGATGGCCGCTGATTACCATACCAGCACTCCGCATGTTCTGGACTACAGTAAATATCCAGGTAGGTAACTGGTTCGTTTGGGATGACATTCTTACTACTTCTTAAAATAACTTTTTTAGTACAAAAATTAAAATTTTTGTACTAAAAAACTGCTTGAAGAATAGTTCTAAGGTTTCGTTTGGGATGATTTTTTTTTTTTTTGCTTCTTAAAGCAGCTTTTTAGTACACAATTTAAACTTTTGTACTATGAAGCTGTTTTTAGAAGCAATAAGGAAGCCGTCCCAAACGAAGCCTAAATCTGATAGTTATTGAGATATTAAAGTATATGAACATTTAACCAAACAACATACATGACTATAATCTTGATAAAATAAATTACAGAATTTTATGGTAGTCTTCATTTAAATTTTTTTAGTAACTTTCATTGAACAGAGTTTGAGAAGCACTATTAATGTTTAAATTAGTTGTAGGAGCATAATATAAAATAATTTAGAAAATAGCAAATTAGTCAAAGTATTTGGTGCATTCTAAAAATGTCAAACTATTGGTGCTTTCTATTGAATACACCAAACAGTTTCTCTAGTTTGCTCATTTCTAAATTATTTTGATACCATGCTCCTACAACTAATTTAAACATTAATAGTGCTGCTTTTCAAAATTTTGCCTTTTAAGATTTTGTGATGGTTTCCAATTAGGAGTTTGTACAAACCTCTAGTCTTAAAAATTTAAGATCCAATTTTATTCAAAATTGTTAATGAAATTAGAATCCATCCTTACTGCATGCCTAGGTTGCATTATTTCTAACGAAGATTTAACTATGATTTGATTGTGGAAAAATATTATTTTAATATAGATGCAGTGGGATAGCTGAAAAAAATAAAAAATACTGAAAATGTCTTAACAAAATAACCAGAGCATACAATTTTTTTTTTCTTTTCTTAGGCATAGAAACTCTTCTATAATTTGTTGTATTTAATCATTTGCAGATCTTGAAGATCGCAAAAGATTTGTTAATATATATGTGAAATCTCCAGGTAAATCCATGAAACAATGCAAACACCAACTCCCTTCAAATCATGAGAAATTATTATGTGCAGTGCACTTGCATTCGGACTCTAATCAAAACAGGCCATGTCAGCCTGTACATAGGCTGATGTGGCATGTTCTGATTGTAGTCCAGACACCGTCCCGATCTCCGCACGTAATAATTGCTCTCAAACCATAGTCCCAATTGGGACATTTCTTAGGCTTTCCTGTTGCTGTTACATAACTCTTAAAACATTGCATTTTTCTTGTTAAGGTGAAGATCCATCTGAAGTGGATCAGCTTGAGGATTTACTTGAATCGATTGAGAAATATGCCCTTGTTAGTCATCTAATCTGGGGCCTTTGGGGTATAATATCGGTACGTCATTCTAACTTTCTCAAGTTGATGAGTGTATTTAATTGCTTAAATATTAAAAAAATAATCTGTTTTATAGATAATGAAACATGTTATCCTTAAATTTGATCTGAGATTTATTAAACTTATTTTAAGATGAATATAATACAATAAATAATTCATTAATGCTTTTATTCTTCTAACTGAATTTCTACTATTTCCGCAGGAGAATGTGAATGAAATTGACTTCGACTATGCTGAGTATGCAAGGCAGAGGTTTGAGCAGTACCGTTTGAGAAAGCTTATTCTTTTGGATCAAGGCTTCTTTCATCACACTAGTTAATGTGTTCGGCAACGGTCTCTTATCTTTGTGTGTGTATGTATATATATATTAAAAATATTTGTACTAAAATTTTATTTTAAAAAATAGTAATAAAGTTGTCCCATTTTGATAAGATATCCAAACTTAATATTTCTCTATAATCAACACTGCAAGTTTGGCCTTCAAATTCTTTCATATTTGTGTTTGTGTATATATATTTGACTTTTTTATTGCATGAAATAAGGAAGTTGACTAATATGCTAAGCATCTTTATGAATAATTTCCTTATAATATGAGAAGGTTAGATAATACAGAGTTCAGCAGAATTGAGGAGGATTTGCATCTTCATGCATGATTTATGTTTTAAAATTGAACCTAATGTGATCCGCAGGACATCTTATCAATATATATGAATATGCATTTTTTAATTTTCGTTGAGAAAGAGATAAAGGAAGGTGACTAGATTTTCATGTTAACAATTGATGGTATTTTGAATTTAATTTTAAAAAAACACCCCTAATAACTTAAATATAAGCCATTAATCTAAATTAACACCCTTAATAACAGTAAGATCAAATAAAATTCTAATAAACTTTATTGTTTACACTATTATACATTAAACCTCATCCACGAAAAGGATGATATATTCTTGAACTTCTTATGGCAGTATAGTTATCAATTTTAAAAATTCAATGAAATTTAAATAAATTAATAAAATTTACATTTACATTGACACAAATAAAATGCTAATTTTTTTTTAATAATTAATAAATTATTCAAATAAAAAGTCCATATAAACCAAGTGGGATTGCGGAGTCTAGTGGTGCAAATGAGTCAAGCCGAACTCGAGTCTCATCGAGCTTGAGCTTGGATCGTCAATTGTTTAAGTGGCTCAAACATGACTTGAATGTGAATTTTTTGGCTCGAGCTCGAATAAGTTGCTCGAACTTAGTTCGTTTGTGGGCTTGATAGCTCGACATGAAGTGCATTTTTTATGAATTTTTTTAATGAACTGCAAAATGATTTTTTGTATGAAGATAAAATTTATATGGCAAAAATAATTATAATCACATTTAAGGAAATAAGTTGAATAATATAAGTTATTGATAAATGATTTCATATATGTGAGTAGAATTTTCAAAATAATAGAAAGGAGAGGATAGGGCATCTATAACAAGAAACATACAGAAGATTAAGGAATGGTACTTCTAACAACTAAACAATAATGATACAAAGTTTTATATCAAAATTAAACTAAAACCATATTTTTGAACAAAAACTTTACTAAATAACAACATTTTAATACTAAAACAATACATCAACAAGTAATACAAAACAACATCAAATTTAAACTCAATGTCAAAAGATTAAGTATTTTTAACACTAACACATTTTTAATAAATTTCACTAAGTAATATGTTAACAAAGTTCACAAAAAATCTTATATTACTCATATCTCCATAATTTTAATCACTTTGTCCGGTCATAAGCACCTTCAGATAATCAATCTGCAAATGATAAAAACAAAAGTCAAAACTATTGCTTTAAATATTAAGAGAGGAAGAATATGTAGAGGGATCTTCTAACTTTCAAAATGCTTATAACCAAAGGTAATGTTATTTCCACCTCTTTAACTTCCCTCTTCCTACAAGCAATTTACATGAAATGATATCATTAGTATTATAAAATTTGAAACTTTAAAATAAAAAATTATAAGAAATCATTACATTCGTTCTTCCTTTTAGGTTGCAATGTGAATGAACCCAATTTCAATCATATATGAGTGCATGAACCGTCTCAATGCTCAATTTCAAATGGTAGGTGTCAACAACTCTCTCTCTTATGCTAAATGTAGATTCATATGCAACTGTGCTAATTGAAATTGTTAGGATATCAACAGTCATTCTTGATAAAATGTTGTACTTCATTTGGTTATTCTTCCACCATACAATAACATTGAAGGGGTGTCGTGTAGGACAATATTCTAAACCATCTTCAAGATATTTATCTAAATCAAATTTCACAAGTTTTTTAGTTGTTATCTTCAAAACGTAGGATGTAAAATCTAGCCAACCACTATACTTGTTGCCCAATACTCTTGAGTAATTTTTGAACTATTTTTTGGACCTGCAACACTTGATCTTCCCTCTATGAATGTACTAGGTACACATTATATATCTTCTTCAAAACATGATGCGTAACTTTTGTATAACTCAAACAATAAGCTAAAGACGTACAAGATGTTTTGTATGCTTTCATCTCCTTTATAGATAATTGGAAATGCAAATTCTATGACAACAAATTTCATTCTCAGGTCCATAATAGCACCAAAGACCATTGAAAATTGCACTCACCCCATTATTTGTCAAATTTGGCTTTCATTTTTTGGACATTTTCATAATAAATCTATTTGAAGAATGTGCCCCATCATCCAATACATTTTTTATTATACACATATGTGAGAGGAATAAGTTTGATGTGAGAGATTCTAATCCTGAAATGATATTTGTTGCCTCATTGAAAAACCCCAAAACATCACACAACTTTCCAATGTTTTCCGCTCCTCCTCTATAGAACAAATACAATAAGCAACTTCTCTTTCACCATAAGAGAAGAAAGCTTCCCTAAATTTGAGTGCAACAGCAAGCATGTTATATGTTGAGTTCCAACATGTTGGGCACTCCGTAATAAGTTTTCTTGTATGTAGTTATAACTGTTTAACAACTTCAGGAAATTTTGTTAACATTGACTCAGATGCATTTATGAAACTAATTGAGTTACGGTTTTTATCAACAACTTGTTCCATAATTTTGATCTCATCCTTCACAATCAAAATGAGAATATGTGTACAACAACGCACTTGAAAGAGCTTTCCTTCAAAAGTTGTCCTTAAGCAACTTAATTGTCCTATCGTTGTTTGTAACATTATCAACGGATATAATAAATACTTTGTTCTCTAAGCCCCACTCACTAATTTCTAATTAGAATCCACATAATGTGCGCCAAATTGAAACGGCATTCATCAGAGCAAAGATGGGGGGTGAAGGAAAGAAAAATAGCTAGGTTTATGGATTTTTTACCTTCCTTGGTATTCGTCGGAACAAAGATGCTCCGACTCTGCCCATCCTCACCGGAACGACACGAAAGATGGAGTTCTGTGTTGCCGCCTTCGCCTTCTATCTTCGCCTTCTTTTGGGATAGTTTTTGTACTGCTTCCTAAAATGATTTTTTAGCATAAAATTTACTAATTAAAAACATTTTTGTACTAGAAAGCTGTTTTAGAAAGCATCAATATATAACATCCCAAACGAAGCCAGTGTGCTGCCTCTGTTGTGTCGATTTCCGACCTTGTGTAAATCATAAAATATTCAATCAGCTGGTCTCGCTCAATTGTTTCACCTCTCTCCGTTTATTCATTCAACTTGTAGCGGGTCCAGCTATTTTGCCTACGCAGATTGTGCGCCTCAACAGACTACCAAGTCGAACCACGGTTTGATTGAACTTGAGCTCGATTATTTCACGAGCTCAAAAAAACTGCTCGACCTCGAATTTGAAGTTTTATAAGCTTAACCTATGAGCTAGTTACTGAGTGGGGTCAACTAGGGAGCCTGACTCGTTTTCACCTCTATGCGGGGAAAATTATTAGGTGCAGAGACCAGATGTGAGGTATGTTCGGACTTCAATAAAATATTGACATGTGGAGTGGGCATGTTGGATTTATTTTTTTCATATTCGCGAAACTTTAAGCCAAGCGCAGGTGAAGTGTAGGTAAAACACAGTCACAGTGCAGTAAAAGTGCATGTAAAACACAGTCACGGTGCAGTAAAAAAACACAGCAAAAAGAGCAATCAAAATGCAACTACAATACAGGTAAAGTATAATCAAAGTGCAGTAAAAAAGCGCATCAAAATTCAACAGTCAAAATGTAACTAAAATACAAATAAATTACATATAAAAAAAATACAATTAAAATGCACTCCACTTACCAAATTATTTTAAGTGAATGTTATCTCCACCTCTAATAATTTTCCCGTGCGGAGTTCTGATTCTAGATTATTCCTTTACTTCTGTAGAGAAAGGCAATTCGGTTCTCTCCGCGTCTTTTCAAATCCCCGGCAGAGAGCGCAAGCTGCGATCACGAAAAGAATTCCGAGGCTTGGCGCGGCGTCGAAATATTCTCACTCACTCTCTGGATCTTATTTCTCCTCTTCCATCCTTCTTGTCGGAATAGGATGGGCCGACCCCCTCATGGCGGAGGCCCCGCCTTTCGATTCACGCCGAACGAGGTATTCCATTTGAATACCACTTTCCTTCTCTTTAAACCCTAGCCAACGAGTATTTGATTGATATCCTTGTAAACACCCTTTGCTTTTTAGGGCTTTAAGATCCTGCCATTTCTACGTTTTGTTTGAAACGGAGGGAATTGAACGAAATGGAATGAAATACCAATAATTTATGTGTTGATTTAGATTCGTGGTCGTGGATTTGATTTTCTTTCTACTTCTTTTCATTTTCTTTCACTTAAATTTCCAGCATCCAAACTTAGATTTCGTTTTATGCATTTTTTAATTATCCGAATGAATATTACTTAATATGATGTATTTGTGCCTGGGATATTTTTCATACTGCAGGAGGAAAGAGGGGATTGAAAACTTGATAGCATGAACCAATCAATTGTTTATTTGCTAATAAGCATTAGTCTGTATTTGACAGTTTCTTTTTGAAGCTATTGGAAGCCGATTATAACCATGCGTTCAATCAGAATGTCACCGCTGGTACACCACCGATGTTAAATCTTGATGAAAGGCTTCTTTCATGGCTTTCACACTGCTCAAATAAATTAGTAACATTTGACTTGGGTTCCTTCAGAACTACTCATTTTTAAAGGAACAAATGTCAAGCCAAGGAGATTCGTGGTGATTTTTTACAAGTGAAATATAGCAACACATTAAATAAAAGGAATGAAAAATGACAATGCAATCAATTAGGATGTGTCAATTATAGTATTGACAATAAAAAAAGTCTGCAAAGTTTAA